GAAAGGCATGTGTTTTCACCATTTACTGATATCTTAGGAATTTCTTTTTACTTTCTTTATTTCTTTATACCTGTAAAAACTTGTGAAGTGTAGTCATTTTGATTTGGTACCTCTTTTAGCACCCATTCTGCACAAAGTATGTATGTCTGCATGATGCAGGAAATAGTAGGTAATCAAGCATTTTATACTTTCTTAGACAATATCACAAAATTTTATTCACTTTAGAGTCTTTATGTACTTGACTAGAATTCATTTGGGCTTGGATATTATGTTAGTTTCCTCTTTCTGTTTCCTTAGATAGTGGAACTTGGGTAATGAAATTCTAACCTTGGATAAATGGTCTAAAAACCCATTTAGATACTTGGGTTTTTGCCAAGTATCTAAAAGACATGCATGTTGAAAATGAAAAATTGTTCCAAATATGTCATGGTATTAATTTTTATTTAAAGTCAGAAATATTTCCATTCTTAGTAATGTATATTATACTTGAAAGCTCCCGTTTCATTTACCACTATAAAATCCTGTGTCAAAGTCTAAATTCTTGGTGTACTAGTTCCAGCAAGTCTGAAGCCAGTATTTTATTAACAACCATGGCATTGGTTGCTCAGGGAGAGGTTTTTATTTGATCCTAAAGGAATGTTCTGTGATCAGTCCATGTTATTACAGAGCTCATTCTGTCTCCACTGACATGGATATCTGTTCTTCCTCTGATATTACAGTGAAGATTGACATTTTGTATCACTCAGTTTAATGAAAGAAAGACTTCAGAATTAAGAAATAACTACAGTTCTGCAATAATGCAGTTTCAAGTAGTCTTTCCTTCTCAGGGCATATGTTTGTAAAACTGAGGTTGAATCTTTGGGTACATCTTAGCTGAAAACTTCATAAACCATTTTCTTCAAGATTTAATGGGCAAGTTTTACTAATTTCAGCACCAAATTGTCATTTACTTGACATTTACTTGCTTTTCTGATTGACATTTTTCCTCCTAAACAACTTTACCTCTAACACACCTCATTTAGACTAGCTATTTTCTGTTTACATTTCTGTTAGAAATGTGTTTCAGACTGGTCACTTATGGTACTGAGACTAAACATAGCTTTTCCATTTTGTGTTATCATCCTTCTGTGATTATGGAATAATACGTGCTGTATCCTCAACTCCTTGGAAAACACGTGAAATTTCAGTTATCTCACAGAATTCTTCTGCTACTTTTTTATTGACCCACAAATGAGATGCAGTATGAAAGGAGTTAACAACTGAGAAATTCCTGTTGGAACCATCTGCTGTACAACTGTTTATACTGAAGTTGTTTTTTATCGAGTCTTATTTCTGAGCATATGCAGCATATTCCCTCCCCATAAATAATGATCAGTTTAACTTACTGCATAATGGAGAGATGGGAACACCTTCCTGACTTTCCCACTGGGGCCTCTTGCACTTCTAAACCTGAAGAAAGGAAACTATCTTTGGTAATCAGAAGATGTATATGCCCAGTTGTATAAAGGGAAAGACAGCCTAAATCTGTGTCTCAGTTTTTGCAGCAGCTGACAAATTGTTACTTTACATTAATTATGGCCTAGCTCACTGGAGGATCTAAGAGATATTTATGTGGAGGAAATTGTTACTGCTTTACTGAAAAAGGAAAAAAAAAAATCGCAGTTGTTTTAACTAGAAAAAAATCTGCACCTGGGTTTTCATCCTGGCTTTCTTGAAAATCCATCTATACACTTGCTTTTCTCTGAGTGTATTGCTTTTTACCCATCTACCCTTCGTGGCACTTGTTAGCTTATGGTAAAGGCAATGAAACAAAGTGGAATTTCATTTGTTTTGCTGAATTCTTATTCGCAGCGGTTTCAAATTCATTTTGTCGATATGTTTTTGGGAAATTTCATGTCTGGAGAGAGTTAAACAGAGATTTGAAACATTTATGGGTGCCTCAATTCAGTCAGTACAGAAGTTATGGAAAATTGATTTCAAATAGCACATTTGTAAATAATGCTGGTCTGCCATATTTCCTATAAAATTTTGCATTCTTTTTAACTTATATGGTTCAAACAGGATATCTGATTGCAATGTAGCTGCCTCTGTATTATTCAATGGTCTTTTTATTTTTATTTTTTAGAATATTTTTTATAGGACAGCAAAAAATATATTTCAGGGTTTTTTTCAGTGAAAATGAATTTTTGAGGTAGGAATATCTTTATCATATTCCTCACGGACTACCTCATAACTTCTTTTCATATAAAAATATTGAACTATTTTTACAACTTACCAGTTATTTTATGAGGAAAAAAATAATGTTCAGCTTGTAATAATGAAGATACTTCTCAGTGAAGTCCTCTAATTTTGGAGGATGTACTGTTGCCTTACTGGGAGATGGTTGGTTGTATTTTCAGCTTATTCTCTGAGATATGAAGTTCACATTAAATAGATGCAACACTTGGGGGCATGCTTTAGTGGTGGATGGTGCTAGATTTATGGTTGGACTCAAGGATCTTAATGGTCTTTTCCAATCTAAGTGACCTTATAATTGTATATTCCTAAGCATAGTCATTACTTTCATTATATTTTATTTACAAATAGGCAAATGTATCTAGGGATGTTAAGGAGAGTCAAACAGCTGAGGGATAGTGGCCTTCCCTTTAATTTTGTGAAAAAAAAATGGTGGAAATAAAGCATGGATAGTGCTCCCTTGGGGGAAGAAAGGCCTTAAAGTTTTTTTATTTTTAATGGAAATTACATTAGCATAAGACACTGATATTTAGAACAAACCCATTTTGGGGTTTCATTCCTTTTCAAAGGCAGAGAGGAAATTTTTTCCCATTTGTGCTTTTTCTTTTATTCCTATACAAAATCAAACTTTTTTCTTTTTCTAACTTTTTAACCTAAATTTTTATTAAGTACTTCTTCATGTTTCCATTATTTCCCAATTATTTCTTCTTCTTTGAGCTATACTTAATTCTCAGTACCAGAACATATTACTTTGTGTTGCTGGATGCCACTATTTGACATCTCAACATGTCTTTTCCTTTCTTTCTTTACTCCAATGAGTATTAACAATTTCTAAAACTCTGACAAGAATCTTAAATGTCTAAATGGTACAGTTATTGCTGGCACACTGAATATGCCAACATCACAGCAAAAAGAGATTATGACAAGTCATTTGATGACTGAAATGAGAAAGGGAGAAATATATCCACTGTTTATTTGCTTTTGCTGCAAAGTATATAGTATTAGATAGAGGATAGGAATTTTATTTGTTATGTCATTATTTAAATAAGCAGTTATTTCAGAAACAACTGTACATCTATATGAAACTTTAGTTAATTAAATGCCTTGCAATGCCTGCTGTCTTCAGGATGTTGAGTGGCTTGTGAGTCATAGTTATCTAATTTCACTCTTATTTTCTAAACCCAGTTCTGTCTTATTTTGTTGTGTGTGTTGAAGTCCATGTCTAGGCCTCTTCACTGATTTCATGTGATTCTTTCCATATCCAGAAACTTTGCTTTTCCTTTTCTTTCTCTGAGCTTTTAAGATTGACAGGTTATGCAATTATTAGTTGCAAGTGCAAAGACTCATACCTGCTCGCTTAACTCCTAAATCCTAAAGACTGTTTCTAAGATTTTAGAATTTCCTTTGTAGTTATACATGTTGTCTCCAATTCTTTAAACTCATCTCTCTTACTAGAAATTACTCTGATAATAAATATGCCTTTTTAGCAAATTGCTTGTTGGCAAAATGCTCACATTTGGTATGTTTAATCAGGGCTTCTCTCAAATAAGTTTGGGAAGTTCTTAAAAAAACTGAAATTACCTTCTCAGCCAATACTTGTGCGGATCACTGTGTCCTGGCAGTTGTCTGATATGTCATGGTTCTGTATATCTATGGTTACCTCACTGGCAGTAGGCAGAACGAGTTGTTACTTGGCAATGTGCCTCACTCAAAATGTTGTATGTAGTAAAAGCAGTTGTGCAGATATGGTAGATTCTTATTTCAGTCAGAGTTTCTGTGTATGATTTGTTTTTTTACCTGCATCTCCCATTTTGCTAAGTATTCAGGAACAAATTGTGTTCATTTAGTGAAATTGTCCCAGGTTACTGATATTTCAGGCTAAGGCCAGAAGTATGAGGCTCAACAAGGCCAAGTGCCAGGTCCTGCCCTTGGGTCACAACCATCCCATGCAGTGCTACAGGCATGGGAAGAGTGGTTGGAAAGCTGCCCAAGAGGGAAAGGACCTGGGAGTGACCTTTGGATGACAGCAGCTGAACATGGGCCAGCATGTGCCCAGGTGGCCGAGAAGGCCAGTGCCATCCTGGCCTGGATCAGCAGTAGTGTGGCCAGCAGGAGCAGGGCAGGGATTGTCCCACTGTACTGGGCACTGCTGAGGCCACACCTCAGTGCTGCGTTGTGTCTTGGGCCCCTGACTACAAGAAGGACACTGAGGTGCTGAAACATGTGCAGAGAAGGGCAGCAGAGCTGAGGAGGGGTCTGGAGCACAAGTCCTGTGAGAGGCTGCTGAGGGAGCTGGGGGTGTTTAGTCTGTAGAAAGGGAGGCTCAGAGAGAACCCCCTCTCTCTCTACAAGTACCTGACAAGAGGTTGTAGAAAGGTGTGGGTCACTCACTTCTCCCATCTAACAAGCAATGGGGGAAGGGGAAATGGCCTCAAGTAGTGCAGAGGAAGGCTTAGATTGGCTTTAAGGGAAAGTATCTTAATGGAAAGGGTTGTCAAATATTGGAACAGCCCATCCAGGGAAGTTGTGAAGTAAGCATCTCTGGAGGTATTTTAAAGATATGTGGTACCTGTGAACATGGTTTAATGGTGGACTCAGCATTGTTAAATTAACATTGGTGATTTCAGATACCTTATATAATCTAAAAAGTTCTATTATTCTATATGTACTTATTGTTTAACATGAAATTTCATCAAAACTTTTTTGTTCTCCTCAGTTAAATTTATATTTATTTGTTTGCTTGTTTGTTTTTTTCTCCTTGGCAGCCTAAAGCATCACAACGGCCATATTGTTCAGGATTTCAAAGAGCAATCGTTTATCTTTGTGGATACAAGTAAACGGACAATGGTGTCCCGACCATCTGCTCAAGCTGCTTGAGAACAGTCTTCTGTGCAAATGGCATGAAAGGTAATTTAACCTCAGAAGGTGCCCACAGAGCTCCAGTTCTGTTTACCATTGTGTCTTTGCCAGTCTAAAAATAAACCATGCTGAACAAAAACATCCTTTTTTTCTTTCCCAGTTTAAAGAACAGATCATCATCAGAGCTAATTTCAGCTAATTTCACCACAAGGGGTTGTTTTTCCTTTTTAGTATTTTTTTTAAGTAGTAGACAGGTTTCCTGGTATAAATGGTATCTGTATTATAATTGTGTTTGTTGCTGTAGGAGGCTGTTGTTCTTCAGAGTACAAAATAGAGTATAATCATGGAGTGGTACTCAGTGCTGAGTGATACACACTTTCAACACATCAACTCTAATTCTGCCATGATCCCTTCTTATTTTGTTTTGCCAGCCACTGTGTTTAATTGAGGAAGGCAGCTCTGCTAGTAAGCAAGTTTTGACTTACAGATTGGTATTCTGTCCTGGAAATTATGAGTGCCTTTTCTGGATGCCCACTTTCAAAGCCTCGCTTGAAGTAGTTTCAGTCTCTGGTTCCAGTGAAACTCTGAAGAGATTTAAAGTTTCACTACCAGTAAAAAACTTCCATGTGTATATATATATATATATATATATATAAAGCAAATTAGGGAAAAGCAGTTCCTGTCTCAAATTCAATAGAAATTTTAGGCTAGAAAAGAAGGGCTTGACATTCATCTCACTGGCAATGGTTGTGCAGTTCCTCCTGGCCATGGTGGTTACTCTCAGGACTAGCAAAAGCAGCTTCTGGGTTCTGCCCCACAGCTTGAAGCTCTGTATTATCTTCTGCTGTCTGCTGTGCTGATTTCTTCTGTTCAGTGCAGTTTCTGGCTCTTTCATGCTCTCTTTATACTGCATTCCTCCAGCTTTGTGGTAGGCCAGACTGGTCCATGATGTGAGAGTGTTTTCTGGCAAAGTCTGGAGGTCAGATCAGACCTTGTAGAGCATGTTCTCTGGGACGCTCTTGCTGCGCAGTCATCTTGCATGCTGCTGTGGGAGGAGAAGTAGAAAATGCATTTTCCTGGCTGCTTTGTCAGATAACTTGTTCTGAGGGCACGTGGGAATGTCAGCAGCAGAAAGAAGATAGATAAAATCTGTATTCAAGAGTCAAACTTGGATTAAATGAAAAATGATGACAGTGTGTCTGTGAGAAGTATGTCTCATCTGGTTTTGTTGCTTATTTAGCTACAGTGGTTTAGCTAACCTAATAAAATACAGTGTCTTATTGTAAAAAAATAGATTCTGGACATAAAAATGGACCAGATTCTTGATTTAATTGCTAAAGGGTATCTAATCTTGATGGTGGCAAGTTTTTGCTCCAACTTAACAACATAAGCCTGATTCATACTTTTCTTGGACATTTTCACTTGGATTTATTTTTTTAAGCAGAAGAGGTGGAACATGACAGATTTGAAAATGTTTTTTATAGCTTTCAACAAGAAGCAATTTATAGCAACTTGAAGTTACATAACTTCTAACTCCACTTTTTTTCATGGCATGATTTAGATAGATCTGGTACTTTCACAATAATTCAAAGGAATATGCAATCAGTCAATCCATCTTACCTATTTTAAGCATTTCCAAGGAACCATCACTGTAGTTTCTGCATTCTAAATCTGAATACAAGTGAAAGTTTGCCATAAACAAGTATTTTGCAAAATTATCAAAAAGAAAAATGCCTTTATTCATTTATGAAATTTAACCTTCATCTAATAGAGGGATCCCACAGTATTTCTTATGGTGTTCACTACACAATTAGTCTTAATTTATGCTTTAGGTAAAAATTTACTTTAGGAAAAACTATGTTTTTCATAGGAAGATGATGGGAGTCTTCTCCAGAAATAGCTAACTTGTAGATTTGGAAGACCCCACAATTATCTGAAAGACAATGGAGTATTACCTCTCATTAATTGTATTGGCCTAGATATAGGATAAATGAACACAAAAAAAATTACAGAGCAATATTTAGGATAATCTAGAAATTGGTTCAGATGGCTTCAGAATACTTGTAGCCAGAGGTAGTTTACATTCTCTCAAAAACTAGTTTATTCAAACTATTTTGCAATATTGTTCAAATTAATTGTTGCACTTTTAATCATCAATTGAATAATTCACGAACATTCTTTTAGAGGAATTTAATCAAAGCATCATGTGAATACTTTCACAACGTTGTACCTATAGTAGTATCAAAGCAATCCTTCAACCTCAGTTTGCACCTCTGTGTAGTTTGGGTGTTTGTGTTTTGCATCATTTGATCTGAAAAGAAGACATGAGGTTGTGTAGGGAAGAATGAGGCATGTGTCTGGAATATAAAGATTATCCTGCTGCGAAAAACAAAGTCAAGAAAAACATTAGAAGTACAAATCAAAAGCTGGAAAACCAAAAAAAAGTCCAGAATATAAACCAAACAATAACAAAATGGAACCAGCAGAAAGAACAGCCTGTATCTCAGGAATATTTTCTGCTGTTGACAACATCAAATTATTGAATTTAGGTGGAGCTTTATTAAGGTCAAAGGCTGCCACTGTAATTCAAAGCTATAACAGATGAAAATCTCTGCTACTCTCAAGAGAAAGAATTCTAGAAGGCCCTTTTAGTTTTCTATGAAGCATGGAAACCCTGAATATTTGAGAACTCAGTTTATCTTCTGTTTCTCTAAAGGTACAGAACTATTGTTAATTCTGTATGTTATTTTGACATTTTACTGAGTATGACAGCATTACTGGATTCACAGAAAGAAGGAATTTGAGATTATGTAGGACTGGACTTCTCATCTCTTCTACCTTATGCACAATGTTTGGCTTTCATTTGTTGTTGCTCTTTAATTAATAGTCTTTCCTTAGATGAAATAGTTGGGAATAAAAAAGGAGTAGAAGAATATTGTTATTCTCTCATGTGGAACTTCTCTCATAAATGTGTATGTGATTGAAAACCTGAGACAAAATGTGAAGAAGCTGCTTCCCAATATATGGTGGTAGCATTTCATGGTTCTCACCCATAGCACATAGCACTGACATTTCATTTAATGAGCTGTAATTTTCTGCTGTCATCTGTCATGATGTTAGGCTGTGGCTGAGTTTTAGTTTGTAATGAGGACACTTTAGTGCAAGTGTGTGTTGGTGTCTAAATGCTTGCTAGGTGTCTAGATTCTCATATAATCAATGTACTTTATGTTTTCATGGTAGTCAGGCCAAAAGAATGATTCAAATATCCATCTCCTACAGGTTCAAATGACACCTTTGTATGCCTCTAGGATCATGCAAAATGTGCTGTGAGACATCCATGTGGAACAGATAATTATGCCACAGGACCTGTAGGAGACCTGCAGCCTCCTAATGGGCTTGCTGGAGCCAGGAAGGAACATTCCAAGGTATCTCTGAGGCAAACTGAACTAGGCCTTAGCTGTCTAGGTAACAGCAAACTTAAATATCTTTCTTGCATGTAGACAGCAGATGCTGGGTGTGTTAATCTGAAACTGAACTCCATGGTATGTAACAGTGCCTTTATTGGATTTCCTGCAAACAGCCTCACTGACGTGAGAATCATGCAGAGAACTAATGAGATTGAGGAAAGTCATCCAGGTTTTGTCTGGTTTGCTGTGGTCTTTTATAGGAATCTGACATTACTATACTATACCATACCAAAGAGAACTTTCCAAGAGTGGACCCATGAAAATTTGGCTTGAAACCACTGCCAGTGCAAATGTGCTGGCAGATTGTTAGGTGCAGAGGCAGGAACTCAAGTTAACGACCATGATTTGAAACAAGAGGTTTGGAATGGATAGAAGGAGGAGCATTTTCACTCTGAGGACAACCAGGCGCTGCATTGGGTTGCTCAGAGATCCTGTGCTGTTCCTGTTCTCTGAAGTGTTCCAGACCCAGCTGGACAAAGCCCAGAGAACCCTGTGCCTACTTGGAGCAGGAGCTTGAACTAGAAACTGCCTGATGTCCATTCCTACATGAATTTTCCTATGATCTCAAGATACATTATTTCAAGAAGTGAAGCCAATAGCCTTTGTGTTCAAGCCCAATTATACAAAGATAGAAAAACTATTTCCTTTAACTGAAGGTGGCAAGGATAGTAATTTTCCTTTTCTGGTATGAGCAAGTGGCCCCAGAATGAATTGAACTAACCCTGCTGTGGTACAACAAAGGGTTGGGAATTAAAATGGTTTGTGATTCTTTTTTTGTTACAACTGGCATTAAGAAGTTGTGAAGGCACAGAAAAATTTTAAAAAACCCAAAAATCAGCAGGAGGGCTTGGAGTGGTTTGTGGGATCTTTTGTTTATTGGCTTAGGGTTTTAATATTATGACTTTTTTGGTGTGAAAAGGTGAGAATATTTTTTGTAAAAATTGAATCCAACCTCCTTATAAATGAAGCACACAGACAAAAGAAAAGATCACAGTTTGACTTCCAACTAGAAATCTAGGATTTCCTCAAAATAAGGAAAACACAGGAAAAAGAAATTTCAAGTCAGTCTAGAATATTTTTCTCTTCTTTCCTCATCTCAGTGGAGCAAAAATTTCCCCATATATTTAGGGAAACATTTAAATAGGCTTTATTAACTCCCCAAATAAAACCATACTGTATTTCTTTAATCACAAGATGCATATTGCAGATAATCTGGCACATATTGCTGGCTTTTCCTATGTAAAAAAATAATTACTTATTTTTGAATTATGACATATTTTGAATTATATAACAGAATGAGAGCTCCATTATGCAAAAAGATACTGAATTACTTTTTGCCTATACCACTATTATAAGCTGGTAAAAGTGAAAAGGCATGTGGGAAATCTCAATTTCTTGACTAGTGAGCAAAAATACAGGATGTTGCAGAAGTATGCAAAATGATACCTAGAGAACCTGTATTATAATAATGTTTTGGATTAAAATTGTGGGTTCAAATAAAAAACAGTTTTAAAATAAATCAAATAGAATAATAAAGAATAAAGAATAAAAGAATAATAAAGCATATTTATCACAGCACAGTAATAAAATCGACAATAGATTTGAGGTATTTTGTATGAATTCAAAGAGCAGTGTTTGAGCAGGCTCTGGAATGCAGGAACAGTGATCTTTGATTTTTAGTGTAAGGCAGTTGCATACTCAAGTAGAAAGGTAGCTCTGAGTGTTTGAATTTTGGTTGCTCCTATCCATAACCACAGCCCCTGTAGCCCTGAGATGGTGACCTCCTTCCTAAAAAAGCCTGACATATGCCACGAGATTAGGTAGGATTCTGGAGTCTGTGTTGCCTCAACACAGCTGCCTTCAGCAGCCACAGACAATTTGGAGCGTGCTCATAATGCTACAGTTCTTTCCCTGCAACTGCAAAATTACAGAATTCTAGAGGAGTGTAACCAGGACAAGCATTAGATAGCTACCAAAGGAACTTTTTTGCATCAAAATGTTAAAGGGTATCTGCAAGAACTTAACTATTTTAAGTGATATGTTCAGGAAAATACAGATCAGTTAATGTCAGAATGAGCTTTTTTGAGTCATTGTCCATGTCCCAAAATTCTTTTCACACTGTCAGCAGTCCTTTAGCTGTTCTAACACTGTCTTATGCTAGTGTTAGTGCACCACTGTAGCACTGAAGTTTATTAACAAGTTGTACCACTGAAGTTCATGAAGAGTTGATTACAGCATTGTCATTATTATTGTTTCAGGATTTTTCCCTTTCGTAGTAAAGGATGTTGTGAAAAACTGGTGATCACTAAAACTTTATAAGAAGATGTATTTTATCTCACTGGTTTATTATCCAACTCCCATACCCTCAAGAATGTTTTTTCTTTTCTTTCTGTTCTATTATTTTCCAGCTACCAGCTGTGAAGTTTGTTCTGATTGAACCTTGAGCTGATCAAATATGTTGTCAGTACCATAAGGTTCCATATATATACTATCATTATATTGGTTCTGGAGAATGCATACATGCATAAGATGTTTCACACATAAATAGTTTAATAAAAATTGAATTTTTTGCTGATATTTTCATCTTGTCTAGTGCAAAGGGATGAGCCATTTAACTTTCTAATTTTTTTAAGTATTTAGTTATACACAATCATTACTTCTAGTTGGGGATTTTGACTGTGTTTGTGAACATATACATATATATATATATATAAATATATACAGATATAAAATATTGATTTCTGTTTGATTTGTTCCTCTACTGCATCTTTTACCTACTGTTCAATTTTTTTTTTACTGTGATGCATCTTGATATTTTCTTGAAATTTCTACAATAGAAACACTGCTACATTTCTCAGATATTTGCAAACACATTACCTTTTAATCCTATATGACCCATCTTCACAGATGTGGAAATCAGTATGTTTAAAGAGAAATGGGTAGTAGATTTTTGGAGTTTGTTTTTTTTGGGTGATTTTTCTTTCAGGTATAGGCTAACACTTGTCAGCTGCAACTATGCTGCCTAGAAAAGATAACATCCCAACAAGAGTGGCATTACAAGTGTGTATTTTGAATTCGTTTTACGGTGTTGATGCCTGTAACTAAGTAATAATTTTATTAGTAGTTGGATCAAGTTCTAGGCAAGGGGGGAAAAAGGGGTCTTGGATACAACATTTGGATGTGATTTGCTCTGCCATTTGAGACTAAAGTTGTGTTATGTATCTTTTTCTGTATGGCATATCTTGGAAAGTGTGGCATTTTGCCATTACAAATGGTATGGCAAAGCGTATAAGTTATATTTTAGTGCTGTAATTGTTAAATCAATGCCAGAATTATCTTCTGCATTGCTCTAAATTAGGGCCAGTAGTTTCCAAAGGAGAGGGGTTACCTCTCATACATTATTATACCTGCAAAATGTGCAGGTTCCATAATTAAGCCTTGGCAAATCTTGCAGTCCGAAAGGAGCATGATGTTTTCATGCTTCTTCAGAAATAAGATACATTCCTTTTACAGTGTTTACTTGCAAATTTGCAATTGAAACGGACATGATGTCTTCCACTTCTTCAAAACCTATTGATTTGACAGTGTTAATTCTTGGGGGAATACCAGCATTTTAATATTCTTTCAGTGTGCTTCTATTTCAGCACTTTAAATCGAGTCATTAAATATTTCTGATGGTTCTAAATTTTTAGAAGACAAATAGTTCAGCCAAGTCAGTAAATCACTTTGTCATTAGGAGGGTGATGCCTTGAAAGATAGTGAGGTGATGAGATTCATTCTTGCTGCATGTGAAAAAATTACTTTTGCAGCATGATGGATCACCTCTGGAATTAAATCTTCCTTTGAATCGGCCATCAGTGCACAGAACAATGAAATTACAGAAAGTAATATAAGTATTGGAATGTTAAGATAATAGTAAATCATAGTTTTAATCTTTAAGTAGCATTTAGACTACACCACCAAAAGAAGGATAAAATGTGCATGGAGATACATGAGCGAGAGGTACAGGGCATTACACAATAAATGGGTTGATATTAAATAAAGTTGGTATTGTTGAAAGTTGCAATATGCTAATGGTCTTTAGAAAGCTTGAATTGAATTATTTAGTAATTTTACCATGCTGAAGGAATATTATATTTTTCATTAACTATACCAGTTGCAAATGGGATATCTCTTTTCTAGGCAGCTTTAGTGCAATAGTTAACCACTAAAAAGTCAAAGAAACTAATCCAGCCATATATAAAGTGTGTGTGTGGGGGGGGAGGATTGATAGGAAATTTCACAGGTGTAGAAATTGATAGTGATTTTTTTCCTATGATGTGGGTTTTTTTGAACTTAGAAAACTTCAGTCCAGAGGACTGCAGCGTGTGTCCTATTAAACACGGCAAGGGTCAATAGACAGCTCTTTACTCCCTTATCTTCTATTCCTTGTTTCATTACAGCGCAAATATGCTATGGAATTGACTTCTCCAAGGCACCTCAGAATAAGAGCTGTTGGAATTTATGTCTGATTGAGGCTTCCATTCTACAGGGTCAGCTTCTTTGGGTGGTTCTTCCAGAGAAGCAGTTTGCAATTGCAGGAACACCATGTTTCTGGACCTTAGAACTTATTTTGGCATTTGCAGCTAACAGGCCAACCAAGTCACTATGTGGAACTTTCATTTTTATAGATGAATAGACTGCTGGCTCTGTGTTTCATGTATGAATTCAATTTTATGAAAATAGTTACAATAAAGTTAAGATGAACTTTTACAGTTACTAACATCACAGGAAAAAGTGTTAGGTCATATCTAAGGCTGAATTAGTGTATACATAAATTATAGTTAATAAGTTAAAATAATAAAAATATAAAGTTACTGTGGGATTGTCTCTGTTAAAGAGACTTTGTAACAATTCAAGGATTATTTTACACAATTACTGCATTCAGCACTATTTTTGTAGTTCCTAAGTGAAGTCAC